ACTCATCCCTCCATCACTCACTGCAGCTCCAGCGTACCAGCTCACCTACAATTCTGCTCAAACACTGTACTATATGCTGCACAATGGCACGTTGTCGTAATGGAATCAATCAGTCATGCATGTTATAACTGGGGACCCATTCTGGAGGAGAATAATGAAATTGGAAGCCTCAGTCAGTAGGACGCTGGAGTTTCCACATTCCATTTGGCCATCGTGTCAACTGCTTATTCTGCCCATGATATGCCTTCCAGCCTATATAAAAAAACACCACATGGACACAAAATAAAGAACTTCCCTGAAGGGTCTTTAATAAACTAATACAGATACCAAACTTGGAACCATAAATGTCAACCTGATGGTGGCACTAAAAGAAGAAGTCAGAAGAGCACTGCAGTTCCCACCGCCGGAGGGGGTCCTTCAAAGATGTATACATCTGAATATGATGATATCTATATAACACGGCCTTTGTTTTTTCAGCTGTAAACTGATTTATTGTCATCTGTATATGGACCAAACTGCTTCATAAAAATCGGTCGTGCAAAGCAATCAAAATCAATGCAGCTGTTGATGCAAAACATAGAACAAGTATCTTTACTACTAAGGCAGCAGTCACATTGCACTGTGTCATGGGAAGAAAAACCATTTGCCTCAGTGACAGCACACATGCTTTTCATGAGAGAGTCATGAACTAGCTGCTCCACAGGAACACATGGAGGTAAACGCTGCTGACATTGTGTCCTTTTCAAATCGAAGCACTGACTTTCTAAACAAACGCCCAAGATTGATCACCTGCAGAGCCGAAAGAGGCTTACAACAGTATTTTCACATAACACACTTGTTGCCTATGTTTTACTTCTCTTCAGGCAGTGCACACTCCATAAAACCTTGATCACCAGAGAATGCTTTCATGCCATCAATAAAAGTGGAACACATCTGCCCTCTTTTGATGCCCAATATGTGCAGATAAAATGCCTGCATTTCCTTCAAATGAACAACTGCCTGAATTCTGACATGCCAAAAATTCACTCAGAGGAATAAAGCCTTTATACTTTACACAGCTTCAGCCTACATCCGTTTCACTTGTCTTTTATTCTCCATTTACTGTACGACTACTTTTGTACTGAAAATCGTCCACAAAGTTTTCAAAGAACCATGCCAAACTATCAATAAAGCGTTTTGCGCGTTTCTTCACTTTCACTTGACAGAGCAAAGATGTCTGTACTGACTGCTACTGATTAAGCAAAAAGAAAAAAGTGGATTAAAAGAGAAAACTTGTTTTTTGAAAGATGTAAAAAATAAAATGACACCATTCATTGAATAATAACTGTATTAAGCAGTAATCTAATCAAAAGATTGAAAACACTTTTGAATGACTAATTGCACTTTATTTGAAAAATTACAGAGAAACGCAAAACAAATTAATTCTCAAAAGCAGCTTTTGCTAAATGGAAGACAATAAAGCATCCGGATATTTCAAATTCAAGATCAGTACTTAAATAATTCAGCAGTTACCCAGTCTGCGCACGTCACTGTGGAAACCCATTAAGGATAATTTGTAAGTTCACAGGGAGGGAAATTAGCACCATTGGAATGCAACCCACAGATCCTCTAAAGCTGAAGCAAAAAGCCAAAAAATCTCTTATCTCTTATATTTAAAATGCATCCTGATGACATCCAGTCACTTGCAAGGTCGCCATCACGTTCAATGTTAAGGTTGGAGGAAGCACAAGGTTGAGAAAGACAACAGTGTAAAATATAGCTATGGCTTAAAAAAAATGGATCCTCTAGCTTCTTTAATCTTTCTGACCTCCAGTACTTCTGACAATCCCACACAAACAACCACAAATGACAAAGCATCTGGGAATGATTGAATGGTTGGACTCAGCGGGAGAGATATGAGATTATTTCAGAGGGAGATATAGTAAGCTAAGAAACATCCACAGCACCAACTTTATTACAAATTCTAATAGAATTAGGTTTAAAAATCCCTCTATTTACAGGGAAAAATCCAAATCAACTATGCCACTGATGTTATTTTACTGTTTTTTCCCACTAGGTAATTTGTCAAATAAAGCCAAGGCACTAGATAAGAAGCAAGCCCTGCTCTGTGAGGTGATGCTAGCAGGAGAGAAACTCCCCCCGGGGCTTAACGTTGCTTCACTGAACTATTTGTTCTCGGCTCTATCGTTGTCTGCCCAGGTAACGCTGCCATTTGTCACTGTCATCAGCTTCTAGCAAACCTCCACTTATAGAGGAGGCTCATATGGAAACACATTAGGGACGGTGGGAAAATTAGAAGTGGCTGTTGTTACTGGTAACAGCTTTGATTTCTTTGGGGAATTAACCTTTGATAGCATGTGGCGGCCTTAAATGTGTTCTATGTTCTTGTTTATGCACACAGATGGATGATAGGGATTCATACGAAGGGGGTGGGTGCCTTTGACCTTATGTCTTCTAGTTTTATGAGGCACTGATTGCGTGATGATTGGAGTGGTCACTGTGTCAGGCCACACATGGCTGGTCATGTAACCTTTCTAGAAGAACTCAGGCATACCGACATTTACCAAGTTCTGTTATTTTGCTTCTTCCTGAATGAAAACTCTGAGCACTTCCTCCATTTTCAATTCCAGAAATGCTGCATTGTAGCACTTAAATAAATGTGTGCAAACCGGGAAGCACTTTGTTACACAGAGCAAACAAGGGCAAACTATGGGATTGTACCGGAATAAAAAAAAGAAAGCATGAGAGAGCACAAAAAGGGTGATAATTAAGAGTGGAAAAAGTACAAAGCCTTGATTTTAAAAGATTAAAAAACAATTAACAGAGTTTCCTTGACACCCAAAACCTGCCTCATGGCTTGTAGCATAAAAAGCTTTTTCCCTCAGAGCTCTACACTGGAAATAAGAAAAGGGCTCGGTATATTAGGGCTTATCCATCTCCTTAAAATCAGCTTAGAGTGCATCCAGACTGACCTACTGCATCACTCTAGCCTTAGTTACATTTAAAACGGCAGCACAAGAAGGAAAAAAGGGTTTTGGGGATACGTAGGAGGACAAATAATGGACTGTTCACCACCTTATGTGTTTCCCAGGCAGATGACCACGAGCCATCCTCATTCCACCTCGTGGACTTGATGCGGATCAATCTGGACTTTAGCATTTCTTGCGGCTGTGGCTGCTCTTTAATTCAATATGGCTGAGCGGTCTGTGATTAATGGCAGGTACTTAGCTGGGAGACACGGTCAATAAATGCACTGGCCCAGGAACTTAATACCAGGCTTGTACTCCAAAGGCGAGACGGGGTTTCTCCAGGAGGCAACACCACCCAGGGAGGATGGGGTTAACAGGCACAGAGCACCCAAAGGCTGACCAAAAAACTTCCACCCAGGCTTTTTTGGATTGACTTACTGATGTGAGGTTGGATTTAATTTGAACAACCTTGGCAGAGTGCTGCTGCACCGTCCTTTTTGAAAAGCCTTAAAGCATGTATGTGTGTGTTAGAGAAAGAGATAGAGAAAGACAGACACTGAGTGGATAGTGAGGATTGAAAGTGAGACAGAGAGAGAACGAGACAGAGAGTGCTCTGATCGCTTGTGTGTGGAAAAGTGTGCATGCAAGTGTGTCCTCAGGGGACGTAAAACACATGAATAAAGAAACTGAAAACACAAAATTAAGATAGATTCCGCTCATAACTGCATGTGAAAAAGCTTGCCAAGGGGGTGCTCTCTTGGGTTTAAGATGGATACTCATTAATCATATATCATGCAAGCCCTATTTTGTTCTCTGCATGTTTGCGCTGCTATCCATGCAGATAATTTTTGGTATCCCCCAAAAGCCTGCCTCTCGCTTCCATCTGAACACACAGTGTAATCCTGTAATCTCTTTATCAACACAATTACCACCACACAAACGCGCAAAGAGTAATGTCAGGAGAGCGCAGAGAAATGAGAAAGTTTCCGCTGTAAGGTCACACAGGCTCTGCATCCCAGAAGGCGCATGTAATTAAACAGCCTTAATAATGGAATATCTAACCGATTATTTGGTTGTAATATTACGACTGTTCGGATTTATGGTGCGCGCGTCCGCCAGCTTGTCCCTCCGGAGCTGACTGTTACAATACTGACCTCCAGTGTGTGCACACAAGGACGGAGCGGACCGTGCGCTCCTTGGTGGGGGACTTAGCCGCTGTCAGTTTGCGTTCGGACACCAATGTGACCTCAACAGAGCAGCTCCTGCTCACACAGCCTCTTAACACTGACACAGAGCTTTAAAAGTGAAATTTAAAAAGAAGAAGAAGAAAAAATAATTCTCTTATCGGCTGTCCGATTGGTGACTCTCAGCCACTTTACGCATATAACGCAGATAAATCGTTTAACAAGAGCTTCCCCATCATCATCATCAGCAACAGAATCCAACACTATTTCATCCACTATTCTCAAATATGTTAGTATATAATATCAGTTCTGAAATTCTTTTTTTTTTTGCTCGCTTATTTGCTTGCTTGCTCTGTTCTCTCCTCCTATAATCGCTCCCATCTCTCCTCCGGGGCGGAGCGGGTCCCTGCCAGTTCTTTCTAATTAAAAAAAAAAAAAAAAAAAAAAAAGACACGTGGTTGTTACAAACCTCTCTCAGGACACAGCGGGGAGGCGGAGGTGGAGAGATGCGGTCGCAGTCGGGATGGGAGAGGACGCGGTGAGGAGGGAGCCGCTTTTCAACCATGGACATTTTGCTGCTGAGAAGCCTGCGCGTTTTTTGGGGGAATAAGGACTTAAAAGACTTGAATATTACCAGCTCTTTTGTCTTCGCCTCTCTCTTTTTTTTTCTTTTTCTTTTTTTAATCCAAAGGAGAGAGACTTGTATGCAGCATGTGGAACATTGCAGGTAGGGAGAGAGAAAAAATGCAGTTTGATGTAGAATTTTGTAGTGAAATATACGCTCAAGTCTTAATTGGATATTTACGCACGTTTTAATTTTTTAAAAGTGACGCCTTTACAGCAAAGAAACATGGATTTCTTTAATATCTCCAGCTTGGAAGACGGGATAGAAGCAGAAAATAGCTCCTCTAATTCCACCTCTGGGAGCCAGTACACCCAGCTTGCTATCTGGGGAATCGCTGGTCTTGTCAGCTTTCTGATTTTGTTTATAATAGTCGGGAACGTTTTGGTTGTCATCGCTGTTTTAACGAGCAGAGCTCTGAAACCACCCCAGAACCTCTTCCTCGTCTCCCTGGCCAGTGCGGACATACTGGTGGCCACTCTGGTCATGCCCTTTTCTCTGGCAAATGAACTCATGGGCTACTGGTTTTTTGGCAAAATCTGGTGTGACATCTACTTGGCTCTGGATGTTTTATTCTGCACCTCTTCCATTGTTCACCTGTGCGCTATTAGTTTGGACAGGTACTGGTCAGTGACACAGGCAGTAGAGTATAACTTAAAGAGAACGCCTAAACGAGTTAAAGGCATGATTGTGGTGGTCTGGTTGATCTCAGCCGTCATCTCCTTCCCTCCACTGATATCAATGGACAGGAGCAGCAGTGAGGCCAGTCCCCAGTGTATCCTGAATGATGAGACCTGGTACATCCTCTACTCCAGCATTGGATCATTCTTCGCCCCCTGTGTTATTATGATCCTGGTCTACATTCGGATCTACCAGGTGGCAAAAACCAGGACCAGGACAATGTCAGAGAAGAAGAGAGACGTGGATTCACCAATGGAGAATGGGATGGACCAAACTGAGCCCGGCAGAGGCGGGTCTTTAAAATCTAACAGGGGCGGGAGCATGAAAGACCAGGAGCGTGAAAACGGGCACTGCCAAGATCAGGCGGTCCGATCCACTCTGCCAAACCAGCCAAAGCATCCGTCAACAGACCACGACGACGACTTCGACGACAGCAGTTCATCGGACGAGAAAGTTAAGAAAAGCTCCAACTCCTCGAGGCATCACCATGAACCCAGGAAAGACAGGAAGGCCAGCCGGAAAAGCAGCTCTGCCTCGAAATACTCCAGCAGAAAGTCACGTGCCAGTTCCAAATCCATGGAGCTGTTCTCGTCCCGCCGAAAACGCCAGAACACCGTCAACCGGAAGAAGGTCTCCGCTGCTCGGGAGAAGCGCTTCACCTTCGTCCTGGCCGTGGTCATGGGCGTGTTCGTCATGTGCTGGTTCCCATTCTTCTTCTCCTACAGCCTGTATGGAATCTGCCGTGAGGCGTGCAAGATACCCGACACGCTGTTCAAGTTCTTCTTCTGGATTGGCTACTGCAACAGCTCCCTGAACCCGGTCATCTACACCATCTTCAACCAGGACTTCCGCAGAGCCTTCCAGAAGATCCTCTGTAAGTCATGGAAACGCTCCTTTTGAGAGGTCCTGCACAGCTGGGTTTGTAATAGACATTTTACCCCGGAGGACAAAGTGTTACACTGTTGTGAGCTGTTTGATGAAGTGCTGGCCTGAGGGTGGTTTCACACCTTTTACTTTCAGGGATTGTATTAGAAGTGAAGGGAAACTTTACGGTTGAAAGGATTGAATTACACTACGGAGGGAAGAAAAAAAAAAAAGGATTTAAATCTAAAGAATAAGCTCAGATCGTTTTCACAGAGGAGGCTGCTATTCAATGCCTGTCAGGCTGCTTTGGGAGGTGGGCTCCTCATTGACTCTCTTCATTTTAATAAAAATTAACGGACTCCTCAGTCGCTGTGACGCATGCCTGCCACAGTGGCTGCACTCGGATGAAATTCACAGGAGGCGAATGGTTCATGGAGACACTTGATTTACAATGTGACCTCAATTCACTGAGTATAATGCTTAAGGCCTTGACAATCTCCACACACCTGTTGTTTGTGACGTTAGGTAGTAAAACTTATCTTTTCTCTCTGTATCTTACTCTGGTTTTCTTAAACTTTCTATTGTGTCACACTCTCAACATGAGGACCAATGGGACGAAGGGGCTCCTTGCTTACTGTTTAAGTAGCAAAAATGTATTAAAAAAAAAAAAAAAAAGACTAATCTTAAAGAAACAGTCATATTTCTGCTTCAGTGTTCTGTGCGAGGTTTGAAAGTGTCTAAACTGGAAGGTGCGGTGAAAACTTCACATCGGGATGTAAGTTTGTGGTGAACTGGGACTGGACGGTGTGTACAGTGGAGTGGCAACACAGGCGGTTTTCCTTTTCCAGGCATGTGTTTGCCCCTTCCTTCCTCTCCCCTCTGAGAAAACAGCTGAAAAACAGAAGTGCTGCTGGAGCAGATGGGCACCTACTGAGGCATTCACTGTGTGTGTGTGCATTTTTATGTATGTGTGTGTCTGTGTGTGAGAGAGCGAGAGAAAGAGAGAAAGAGGGAGACAACATGTGGATCAGTGTTGTGAAAAAGCGAAGCTGGAGGCTTTACTGCATCTTAACCCAACTTCCCGTTTGTGATTGTATGTGTGTGTGAGTATGTATAAGCCTGCTTTCTCAAATGGCCTGATTCTCTCTGATCCAGTGTCTGTGTATTCTCTCCATCCTGTTTTTATTTTTAATTTTTTATATTGCCACACATCCCTTGTCTCTTTACAGCCACAGTAGAAAACCAAACACTGTATCGCTCTTTTGTAACGTCTGCTGCTCGCACACGGATAATGAACACACATCTGCATTATTATTATCATGTACACAAAGATATAGAAATGATTTATACATTTTGAGCATTTATAGCCACAAGGGCTGTTTTTTTTTCTTTTCCTCGTGTAAATAATTGAAGACAGTGCAGTATTATTGTGTGGTGCCTCATAATCACACACGTATCAATATGCTACAGATGTTTTGTTTGTATAATGAACAATGCTCTGAAAGATTTTCAATGTTACACTGACCTCTGTCCTTTTCTAAAAGAACAAGTGTTTACTTCTCTGCTTTGAGCACATTTAAAAAGATCAAATAAAGACGTCACTTCAATTGTCCTCTGAAGACTGCAGTGTTGGATTGAATTCTTCATAACCAATATTCTGTTAAGGTGTTTGGTTTTTTTCACTGCTGTGCCACTGTTGTTGATACTGTCAGTTTCAGGAAATATGATTAATATTCTTTTGTATTTGCAACCATTTTAAGGTAGCTTTCTTGGGAGATTGTTGCTTTTCAGACTTTAGAACCAAAGTGAAAATAATCCATTCGGGAATATTATCAGCACAGGAAAGTAAAATTCTAAATCTGGTTTGCATACAAATCAACATTTTAGTGACTTGCAACATCAGACTTTAAGTCTTGCCTCCTTTAAAGCTTCCCATGGTGTCCAACAATAGAGAAGAATAAATCATGACATAAAACTGTCTAATGTAATGTGATATTGTAGGACTGTGCATAAATAGCACATCACCTCAGGCATATTTCATGTGTCACATTCATTCATGTCAAGCTTTTATGGTGTGATTTAACAGCATTAACACATGATATGGTTAAGGTCAGGGTTAAGGTCAGGGAGGAGGAGGTCATTCACCAGGTCATCACCTAAATGGTGTGCAATGACACACGAAATGCAAAAAATGCATTCTGATAATACGCAGGGAGACTTGGAATGTTATTTATGCACCCTTTCATGACACAAGACTGTTTGGTGCAGACCTTTTGATAAATGTCAGCTCCTTTTAACATTTAAAATGGCATTTCCTGTTAATTTTGCTTTTTCTAACGCTGTTTCCCTCTTTGGTTTTATTTCTACATTTGGATCAGAGCACCAATTTTTCCTAAATTTTTCCAACTGTAGCTACCTCCTGCTGGGTCAAATGCCAAAAAGCATTGGGCAAACTGTTATGAGCTTCGTACAAATATGGACGACTTGTCATCATTTCCCGCCATTATGCAAAAGTGAAGTCAAATATTGCAAGATACATACGCTCACTCAAGCTGTTGGACTTTCAGACTGCTGCTAAGAGTGAAGTGATCCAAGGAGCCACAATGACAAAAGTGAACCAGAAGGCAATGTGAGCTGCTGTCCTTACAATTCTTGCATTAAAGTAACATCATTTTTACAGTAATCTAGTTATCTGTGATAGTTTCAGAAACCCAGACATGACACTCATGGTAACTTTGGCTAAGATTTAACATGCACTCATGCACTTCTGCCTTTTGTTCCACAGTACAAGGATTTCTTTGGCTTGTTTTTGTGAAAACCTTTCATCATGTGCTGTTGCAGTTTTATGAATCTTAATCCTGTTAAGCTCACATCTGACTAAGTTAAACTGATTTGTGTAGGGAAGGTGAAGTACTTTGGTGCTGCCGGTTTTAAAAGCATGACTGAAGACCATAGATATTAATTTCCAGCACATGACGCTCAGTTCCCATTGACGGAAGTGCAAAAATGAGCATAACTATAACAATACAAAAATAACAATACACATTCTGTGCTGAAATGTTTGAGTGTGATTTGAGAGAACCAGTAATGTAACCGATCAATATTAAGATCCACGTAACAGCTTTATAGGAACATATTTTGGAGTATTTATGTGCTTTTTTAAGAACTGACTGTTGATCAGTGAACAATGTGTTGACTAATTATTATTATGTTGTATGCAGTAAGATTAAAACAACTATATGATATTTAGTCATGGACAATTAATACTGTATTAGCACCAATGACTACAATTTGCTTTTGGAACATCTTGTATTATTTATCTGCCAGTAAGGAGGGGCAGAGCTGCATTCAAAGAGTGATGGAGGACCAGAGCAGCAACAAGTGAAGCCTTGGAAAGAACGTAACTTGATGCAGGAATAAACAGACGCTTGACTGAAGATCATCCTCTCTTTACATCCAGCCACAGTGACAATGCGACGGCTGAGTTTGTTGGTGCGTTAATGGGAGCATCAGCGGATGTTTCAAACAGAAGTATTCAGGGTTGGGCTGTGGCTGCTGCACATCAGTGTGAAATGTGCTTTATCTTAAACATATTCTGATTATATAAAAATCATATGTTTTTAGGATTATTTTCTTTATATTAGACATTATATGTGAGGTTTGAATGTGATGTTTAATAGTGTAGTTTTGGGGCAGCAAGGTTGCACACAATCTGAAAAGAATTAAAGCTGTGATAGTTTACTGAAAATGAACTCAAGATGCCATGGTAATTTATAATCACAAGTGTACTGGCCTTCTATTTCTTACAATGTTGTCATAAAGCAAGCAAAGTTTCAGCTACATTCAAACAATACCTGGCTCTTTAAAGAAAAAAGGGACATTTTAGCTCTGTCATTATTTAAACTGAGAAGATCAAACCAAACTGTCTATGATTTCTGTCAGTGTTCACTTGTCCATTTCTAAATGCCCATATCAGTATTACAATTCACTGTCCTCACTGGAGGAGTCCTCTGCACTGCACTGTGGGACAGGTTGCTTCTGTAAGCACGATACAAACAGATCAGCAAACGAAACACATGCAGATCAATTTGAGTTGCTTGATCTGAAAAAATAAAATAACCAATCCTCCTCCTTTGTTTTCTATTATTATACGTATTACTTACTACTATAGTGTCCTGAGATCAGGCCCAGTACTAACGCAGTCACTGAAAGAAAGTGCACCAGCAGCTTGGTTCTCATTAAAATGAGCCCATCATGTAGCCTACCATAAAAACATCTGAATTTACATATCATCTCCTTGAGATGTTCATGGGAAATGTCTGGCCAGCTATGATTTCATCCAGCAGCCTGTGCAATTACTAGCCTTTCTCTGACTTTGTCCTTTTCTGAATTTTAATTAGAGTTTTTTTTTTTTCAAGCACCCCACTGGTAGACATATTTTTTATTTATGTTTTTTTGTAGGATGGTAGCTAAATGGCTACCACAAGTTAGCAGAGAATTGATCAATGTAGAAAGCAAAATGCAAAAAGGAAGATATGCCAGAATTTCCGTGACAGCACTTGACTGCAGCTCAGGCTTACAATGCTGGCAGTGAATCTCAAATGAAAATTTGCATGAATTAGCCATTGAGACATTTTGGCTTCAATTTTAGAAGCTGTCATTGTGTCCGTCTTCATTTTATATACAGTCTATACTTCAGGCCGAGATCGATGCTTAATGTGCACACAGCTAATCACATAAGGTTTCTCCTTACTGACAAAGTCATTGTGATAAAAGGGACATTTTGAAATCAAACTACCACTCGGACAAATTGCAAAGTGTCCGCTCAAAGACAATCCAAAGGAAACTTTGGAATTCGTGGAGTTCTTCTGTATGATTTTAAAGAGTCTTCACCTTACCAGGGAAAGTGCCTTGAGATGACGTGGTATAAATTGTTGCTGTATAAATAAAATTTAATTAATTAAAATGTCATTGGGAAATAAAAGCAAACTTCAAAAACAAAAAGTGCTGAAGTTAAACAAAAAAGTTAACTGTCA